ACCCTCTTTGAGATCAGACACTAGCTTTCATGTTTCTTCTTTGAACTCATTAATCATTCTTACTATTATTGTTTGGAATTCAGTATTTGATATTTCCTCCTCTTCACTGTTGTTTAGATCCTTAGAGGTAGAGTTGGCTTTTGAGGGTGAGATGTTGCTTTGCTGCTTTATGTTTCTGTGTTGAGATGTACACAACTGGGGTTGTTTTTGTTCAGGGTTCCAATGCTTGTGCCATTTAGTTGGGGTTTTATGAAAGATTATAGAAGACTGATGCTGGTTGAGTTCTGGTATGTTTTCTTGTCTCTAGATGGGGAGCTAATGGCTTGATCGTACTCCATTCAGCTTCTTATTTTCAGGATGCTGGATTCTACCCCCTGTTTTATATAGGGCAAGGAGGCTTAGCTACTAAAGCTGTCACAGTTATTAAATTGCAGCCTTGAAATTACATTAATCCCTCATGAAGATCAGTTACTTCTTCTGTTCCAGTATCTATTGGTTGTTTATTAGAGCAAAGATGAAACTTCATGGTCCTGGAAGGCTAAAAGTAGTAAGCCTTCCAGGGAGGGAGACGGAGGCAAAGCTCTATTCAGTAGTATGAGTTAAAAAGTTTATGTGGCAGAAAGGGGTGGCAGCTGAGGTAATAGAATGGGTTGATTAAGAAGCAGACTGGAATGTGTGGAACAGATTCAATAACTATTGAAATGGGTGAGAAGGGGAGGAAAACAATAGAGAAAGTTGAACAGACAAACACATATGACCCAACAAATTTGCAAAATGATCTGGGATTCAATTTAACCACTAATAGTATTGGTAGTGATGGAGTGGATGGATAGACAGTAAAGAGGAAAATTAAGAGCCAGGAAGAGGTTGGTTATTGTTACTTGGAGAGTATGAGTAGCGGAGAGTGATAGAAAAGGGGAGAAGAAGTGGTTTAAGGTTAAAGACTGAAAGATGAGTTATGGGGGCTTTCCTGTGATGACAGCTCAGAGTGGGAAGGGTGGAGGTAGGGCTAAATTGAGGGCTGGTGAAGATGCAAAATTGCTGTTGAAGTGTACAGAAAAAGAAGATACAGATAAATGAATAAAAAACTACACCGTAGTTTTAACAGCAACAAATACAAATTTTACATAAAAAATGTGAATTTTCTAGTGTTCTTGTGAGCAGTTGATCTTTTCCCTCTCCTTACTGAGTGAGTCTTTTTGGATGTCCACTAGATGGCAGTCTAATGGATTCCTGGTTCAGAAATGGTGTCTGATGGTGAGGAGGAGGGGGTATTTGGAGATCTAAGCAGGGTCTCTAGAGTTTGTATTGTCAATTTGCCCCTATCATGCCATCACCTGTTGCACTTTCCCCTGTTCAGGTTCCCCAGTACTTACAGTCTATAGTTATGCTCAGTGGCAGGCATTTGTCAGATGTCATAACTGACAGATGTCTCTGGCACCAGCAGTTCCATGGAGGTCTTTGCTGCCAAGGGCCCTGTGTTCCCCCAGCCCAGGGAAGGTCTTTATCTAAAGACAACCACATGGTGCATCTCAGCTTTTGCTTATGCGGTTCCAGCAGCTTTTCCCAGGGAGTTGCATGCTGGGCACCTTGCATGTGTGCAGTTCTTGTGGTGAAGATTACAACTTTCCCTCCTTCACTGAAGGAGCTGGTACTACAGCTCCAAGGCCACAGGGGGCCTCCTGATGTGGTGCAGAGTGCAGAGCCTCCTGGTGCCTGTTGAGCAGCAGGACGTGGACCCTGCTTGTGTTGGGGAGTGGGCTTCCTGATTTGGTAGAGGGCGTAGAGTAGCAGGATGCAGAGCAGTGGAGTGGCAAGGTGCAGAGCTTCCTTGTGTGAGGGAGTGGGGCTGCCCCATGCAGTGCCTCTAGGAGTGGAGAAGTGGGGCTTGCAGCCTCCAGGAGTGGGGGAGCAGGGAGTGCAGACTTGTGAGCCATTTTTTCATGTAGTTTGTTGCTTCTCTCTTAGTGGGTTCAAAAGGAGCTCTGCTGCTCTTGCTCTGGGCCCTGTTTCCTCCTCCTTTGGAATTATGGGACTCAGTGATTCAGAGGATGTTAACAATTCACCATCTTGTTGCCAAGATGGTTTATATTCTTCTCAATACCTGTATCTCAATCTTACTTCTTCTCTATGCAAAGTGCTAATTGTTCCTTGTAAATGGACAAATAATGTGTTTTGTTTATTCTTTGTCTCCCTTTCCTTACCCTCTGGCCTAATAGATTTATAACCTTGTCTTTTTCTGGAAGACTGAATTGTCCTAATTAGTGCATTATCCAAGGACACCTTACTTGCTGGCATCTGCTAGACTTCACCAAATGGAAATCACTTGGAGGGTGTGAGAGGGTGGAGTAGAGGTTGGGTTTTCCCATTTTTTGCTTAAGTGTTGGGCTGATAGCAATCCCTGCATGACATAGTCCCTTCATGAATTCAGTTTTCACTGGCTTGATAATTTTGCTTCCTTCCATTGTCTTTTCAGCCTAGGAGTGTAACAACTTCTTATCTGTTGTTAGTCTTTGGGTTCTTAAGTACCTTATCTTTGTTCTGCTCACATGTCTGAAAAAGCAGTGTTTTAAATAAGCCCTTAGAGTAAATTTTGTTTTTCTTTTCTTTCTGGCAATATGACTAATACAGAATGTTTCAAAGTGGTTCTCAACTTTATGTTCCTTATACACAAGAATGATATGACCTTAGTATGATAGGTATGACCTAGTATGACTAGTCATGATTTAGTATGATAGGTAGGTATAACCAAGAATGATAGTCACCTTAGTAACAGTGGCTCACTATGGCACATTAGAATCTAGGTTAGGAAGGGCGTAAGGGGAGAAAAGTAATTGTATCTGAAAAAAGTGTTCCATCAGGTGCTTTTCACAACTTCACTGTCACAAAGGAAATTGTTCCCCTACCCTTCAAATTTAGTATCTTTATATATATAAATAAATTTTTTATTTTTTGCAGCACTGGGGTTTGAACTCAGAACCTTGTATATGCTAGGGAAGCACTCTACCACTTGAGTCATGCCCCTATGCCTTTTTGCTTTTACGTTTTTTTTCATATAGAGTCTTGCACTTTTACCTCTGCTTCTTGCGTAGTTGGAAATACCACCACACCCAGCTTGTTTTTTGAGATAGGGTCTTGCTAACTTTTTTGCCCAGGCTGACCTTGAGCCTTCTGCTTAACTGAGATTACAGGCTTTCTTCACCATGCACAGCCCTTCTTACACTATAATCGTAGTTGGTCTTCAAAAATGCCAAGCACATTTCTATCCCAGAGCCTTTGCACTTTATATTCTCTCTATCCCCACCCATTTAAAATATTAACTCAAGTATTTCTGTATCCTTTTATCTTTTTATCCTGCTTTTTGATGCAAAGTATATGTCAATTCCTAATGTTTAGCATATATTTATTTATTTTATGAATCCCCTATTAGATTGTAAATTATGTGAGGGCAGATCCCTTGTCTGTTTTATTCTCTGTTGTTTACTTAGTAGCTAAGTTTGACACAGAGTAGGTGCCCCCCAAATACTTTCTTGATATTTATTAGTGTACATTAATTATCTAAAAAAGTTGGTTTCATTTTGACATTTTCAAACATGCATATAAGGTACTTTGATCATACTTATCCCCCATACTTATGCTTAACCCTTCTCCCCCTCCTATCAGTCATCTTATTAACTATTAGTTCCCTTTCTATTTTCATATGTGTGTGTTTAGATTCCAAAAAGCACTTTTGAAATGACTGACTGAATAATGTGTCTGGCTCCCCAACTAGAGTTTAGGAACCTTAGGCAAAGGAATTTTTTTTTTCTTTTTTTCCTTTTTCTTTTATTATTCATATGTGCATACAAGGCTTGGTTCATTTCTCCCCCCTGCCCTCACCCCCTCCCTTACCACCCACTTCACCCCCTCCTTCTCCCCCCGCCCTCAATACCGAGCAGAAACTATTTTGCCCTTATTTCTAATTTTTTTGTAGAGAGAGTATAAGCAATAATAGGAAGGAACAAGGGTTTTTGCTGGTTGAGATAAGGATAGCTATAACAGGGCATTGACTCACATTGATTTCCTGTGCGTGGGTGTTACCTTCTAGGTTAATTCTTTTTTTTTTTTTCCTTTTCTTTTATTATTCATATGTGCATACAAGGCTTGGTTCATTTCTTCCCCCTGCCCCCACCCCCTCCCTTACCACCACTCCGCCCCTCCCTCTCCCCCCCCAATACCCAGCAGAAACTATTTTGCCCTTATTTCTAATTTTGTTGTAGAGAGAGTATAAGCAATAATAAGAAGGAACAAGGGGTTTTGCTGGTTGAGATAAGGATAGCTATACAGGGCATTGACTCACATTGATTTCCTGTGTGTGGGTGTTACCTTCTAGGTTAATTCTTTTTGATCTAACCTTTTCTCTAGTTCCTGGTCCCCTTCTCCTATGGGCCTCAGTTGCTTTTAAGGTATCTACTTTAGTTTCTCTGCTTTGAGGGCAACAAATGCTAGCTAATTTTTTAGGTGTCTTACCTATCCTCACCCCTCCCTTGTGTGCTCTTGCTTTTATCATGTGCTCATAGTCCAGTCCCCTTGTTGTGTTTACCCTTGATCTAATGTCCACATATGAGGGAGAACATACGATTTTTGGTCTTTTGGGCCAGGCTAACCTCACTCAGAATGATGTTCTCCAATTAGGCAAAGGAATTGTTTTACTCACCTATTTATCAGAGGATCTAGCTCATGATGAGTATTCAGTGAATTAACAAATTAATGAGTGGATGAATGCTCACATAAATAATTCTCCTCTTGATTATTTCCAAAATGCACCCTGGCTTTTCTTCCCATAAAGTAATAGTGATAGCTTTAATTTGGGGAAGTAATTATAAAGGAAACTTTCAGTAATTCTTTTTATATGTGCTATGCATTTATTATAAGAACCCAGAAGATCTTCAAGGCATGTGAAAGAGTTTTATGAAAAATTCAAAGGTTTTTATGATGCTGTGCTTTTATTTTTTCAAAAGGAAGTTCCATCATGCCAGTTAAAGCTTAAGGAAAAACATAATTCTCTAAGAATTATTTCTGCAGTAATTGAAAGCATGAAGTTTTGGTGTGAACATACACAGAAAGCTGTACTTCTTTTTGAATTATTGGGTAGGTATAATATTTCAAAAATACTTCAATAATACTATTTACAGAACAGTTTTTAATAGCAACAAGAATACCTAGGGGATTATGAAGAAAAAGTTTTACAAAAGGAGATTATAGTTTATTAGAATTTTCTTCATTCTTGGTTACTGATTTGTGTGAATTAAGTATTTGGTAATTTGTGGGAGTATTCTTCTGATTCATAATGTTATAACTGGGAAGACTCTTGCAAGTAATCTAATCTAACCCTTGAGTTATATGAGGAAATGGGGCAAGTAATTAAAATACACTTGACTAAAATTAGTTAGCAGAAGAAATGGATCTAGAATGTAAGTCTCTTTAATCTCAATCTATTGCACTTTCTACTATATTAGTAATTTTGTAAATCTTTTTTAGTAGGGCTAGTATTGGATTTTGAATTTAGGGCTTTGCCCTTGCTGGGTAGGTGTCCTACTGCTTGAGCCATGTACCAGGCTCTTTTTCTCTGGTTATTTTGGAGATTAGGTCTCCCTTTTTTCCCTAGCCAGTCTGGACTGTGATCTTCCTATCTTAGGCTTCCTACTGTCACTGGCATGACAGGAGCTCACCACATCCCCAGCTTTTTTCCATTGAGATGGGGGTCTCAAACTTTTTTTTTTGGCTTGGGTTGGCCTGAAACTATGATCCTCCTGATCTGACTCCCATGTAACTTGGAATGACACTGTGTCCAGCTATTAATTGAGATGGGGTCTTGTGAACTATTTCTCTGGGCTGGCCTTGCACCACTAATTCTCTTGATCTCAGTCTCTCAAGTAGCTTGGGTTACAGGCTTGAGCCACCAGTACCAGATGAATCACTAAAAAATTCTCCAAAAGAACATTTTGTTAAGAATGATGATGAGTAAACATCCAATAATTAATCTTTTTTTCTAAATTAATATTTAAAGGGGGGAGAGTTTTGTATAATGTTTCTGGAATTTGATTCTGTCTAGAATGAGAAGATAAACAAGTAAGATATATAGATTCAAAACATACTTCTCTTATTTAAAATAAACAATTCTTAATTTAAATTACAAAATAATGCATATTTATAGAAAAATAGAGAATATATAATAAACATCCATTTGCCCATGTCATAGGTATATTTGAAGTTCCATATATTTGCTTCTCTAGAAATAACCACTATAGTATCTTTCCTCTCCATGGTTTTATAATTTTATAATATACATTGGATTCCATCAATTTATTTATATTATTAAGTGTTATTAAAAATATACGACTTGTATATTTTCACCCAGTGTTATGTTTTTGAGACTTAACCATGATTTTTTTCATTGCCTTTACTTCTGCTCATGACTAGTCCTTCTCCTTACAAAGTCTTCTTTTTGCTGCTTCCTGAAGTTATTCGAAGAATTGTAATGTTAGATAATAGTGACTGTGGTAGACAGAATAAAGGCCCCCAAGATGTATTTGTCCTTTTTTCCAAAACCTATGGATATTACCTTGTATGGCAAAAAGGACTTTTGCCTTGAAATGGGAGGATTATCCTGGATTAGCTCAATGGGCCCAGTGTAATCACAAGAGCCCTTATAAAAGACAATCAGGGAGTCAGAGTCAGGGAGCAATTGGAAGGTGCTTCTTGTGGGGTTTGAGATGGAAGAAGAGCTATAAGTCAAAGAATACAGTCAAGAATACAGAAGCCTCCAAGAGGAACACAGTCTTGCTGACTCATTTTAGACATAGCACAGTGTAACATTCATTCATAAACTTCTTCCAGTTGCTCTTTCCTAGAAGTTAACAGATGACTCTGTGCATATCTTCATTTCTGACTTTAACGTGCCCATCAGTGGAGCCCTGAACTGTGTAGGTGGGAATGGAATATGTGGATTGGCTTAAGTCAATTATAGGTCACTTCTAGATCTGGGAGTGGGAACAAGTGCTATCCAAATCTTATAACTAAGAATGGAATAGGAGAGGTTTCCTAAAGGAAAATCTTGGTCTTATTAAGGGAATTGTAGGTTGACTTCAGAACAGCAAATATTCACTACCAGTAGATGTTTGTTAAAGAAATGAATAATTACATTTGATAAAAATTTCTGGAGATAAATATGAATTAGCATTTGCATTTTATAGATGAAGAAGTAACTTTGAAAGAGGTTAAACAGTTTGCTTAAGGGGAAGAAAAGGGGGAGATGTAGGTCAAGGAGTACAAACTTGAAGTTATTTATAAGTTTAGAGATCTAATGTACTTTAGAAGGACTACAGTTAATATGAATGTGTTGTATATTAAACTTTTGTTAAGCAAACAGATCTTAGGTTCTCTTATCACATACAAAAAAGGTAAGTATGGAAGTCTGTTAATTTGTTTGCCTTTAGTAATGATTTCATATTTGAGATCTGTCTATCTACCTACCTACCCTGTTGTACATGTATACAATAAAAATAAAACTTAAAAATCAGTTTGTGCAAAATCACAAAGTATTAGTAAGTTGAAGACCTGTTACTAGAATTATAATTCGGTGGGTTTTTTTCATTCAACTATGATGCTTATTTGTTATAATAGTGTATTGTTATAATGTGTTAGACTGCTCTGGGGATTTAACCATACCCTTAAGGATGAAACTTCATATGGCCATCTGTTGTTAGTTTTGTGGACTTGAATGTAATCTGTTCTGAAGTGGAGAGAGGTGGAAACTTTTCTTTCATGTAAACTTCTTTTAGAAATATCATTTTTTTCTTAAAATATCTTCTTTATTACTGTATAAATAGAGTTATGAGAAGTTGGTGTGGGAACAATTATTTGAATATTGACTGCTCTTTGTTAAGTTTTATTTAAATTTTGTCAACATTTATTTTTCCCCCATTTCAATGTTGCTTAGCTGTCCTTGATTCAGCTGTTACATCTGGCCCATATTATTCAAAGACTTTCCTTATGAGAGATGGGAAAAATATACTGCCCTGTGTGTTTTATGAAATTGTGAGTATTTAAAAGTACTGTTTGAAAATCTTTGGCCATTCAAACAAAATGTAGGCCATAATTCCATTTCAATAGAAATTTTTAACAGTTTACTAGTACTTTAAACATTTTGTTTGTTTTTGGTTCTAATATTAGAGTTGTTTGTTTAGCTAATATGGAGAGTATAGTTACTGTGTGCTAGGCACTGTGCTGGGTGTAAGGGATATGGTACAGAATAGAAGTGGTAAATGGCTTCTTCTCTCAAAAGAGTTTATAATCTCAGGTAGAAAGGCAGATTCATAAATGTTACAGTGTGGTATGATAAATGGTATGATAGAAGTGTAAGCAGGGTGTTATAGAAGTGGATAGGAAGGATGGGACAGATCAGAGAAAGATTTTCTATGAAGGCACTAACCTATCTTAAGGAGTGAAGCCAAAGTATGTTGGGAGGATCTACACTTTGGTAATTATATACTACTTGCAGGTTTCTGAAGAAGTCAGGTTCTTAGTTTCATATCTTTGCCTATGCTGCTTCCTAATCTTAAAATGTAGAGTTGATAAATAAGGGGGTAGGAGTAGGGCTCTGAAATTAAGGTAGGAATGGGCTGAAATATAAGTAAGTGGTTTGGTGACAAAACCAAGGCTAGCGATCACAAAGGAGGTTGAAGGACCTTATATGACCTACTAAGAGTTTGGCTTTAATTCTGAAATTGGCCCCTCATGGCTTGGATTCTGGTGTTTATTTTACCATCTATTAGTTTTATACCTAAAGAGGTAGTAAACTACTTGAGTTTCTTTTTTTTATTGTTGTACTGGGGATACATTGTGGCATTTACGAAAGTTATTACAATATATCATACTTGAATTCACCCCCTCCATCATTCTCCTCTACCCGAGTTTCGAGTTTCATTTAAAAAATTATAACGTGGGAAATGAATTCCTACTTTGAAAGGCTGATGTGGTTAAGTGATAAAATATAAATATACAGTGCCTGATACATAGTGGGTAATCAAGAAATAGTAATTGTGTTAATTTCTGTAATATCTTGAATGATAATTTTTTCCTGTTTAAGTGTTTAAAAAACTTTGTATTGAAACATAGCTTATACGGAAAAGTGCACAAATAACAATTGTGCAGCTCTATGAAGCATCACAAAGTGAATAGTACCCAGGTTAAGAAGCAGGATGTTGTCATCATCCTGAATCCCCCTTTTACCTCTTCCCATTCACTACCTGTCTCCTACCTAAAAGTAACCACTATCCTGACTTAACGTCACAAATTAATTTTGCTTGCATTTGAACTTTATATAAATAGTATCATGCAGTATGTCTTTTAAAAATGTCTGGTTTTAACCCATCCTGTCTGAGGGTTGGTACCAATAGGAATAGGGAGGATATAAGGAAAAGGAGAAGGAGGGTGTATGTGCATAGAATGTGCTCATGTATGAATATGGAAAAGTCAGCCCTCTTGAAACTATTCTAAGAAGGAGGGAGGAACAATAAAGGAGAATGAAAGAGGGGATGAATTAACTAAAATATATTTTAGGCATTTTTGTAAATGCCACAGTGTACCCCAGTATAACAATAGTATGATAATAAAAATAAAATAAAAAAAACCTAAATATGTAAAAACTAAAAAATAATAATGCCTAGTTTTGTTTCAAACCATATGACTGGGGTCTTTCTGCTCTACCCAGTCCTTCTGCCCAAGTCGACAGGGCCTGGAGAGGGGTCAGGTAGCTGTCAATTAGGGAGTTAAGTCTCTCTCTAGTCCCCAATACTTCAGCATATTTAAAGGAAAACAAACTTTCAGAAGGGTGCTTGCAACAAAGGTTATTATTAACAATGCTTCAACAGTACTTAACAGTGTTCTAAAAATTCTTAACTTCTGTCCCGGTACCTCAGGGAGCTATGGGTCCCTAACATACATTTCAGTTTCTTTCAATCAATGTAATGCTCATAGGACTCATCTATATTGTTGCATGTAGATGTAGTTCATTCATGTATGTTGCTTGGTGTAACATTCTGTTGTAAAATTAGAGATAAGGGCAAAATAGTTTTTGCTGGGTATTGAGGGGGTTAGAGGGGAGAGGGAAGGGGCGGAGTTGGTGGTTAGGGAGGGGGTAGGGGCAGGGGGGAGAAATGACCCAAGCATTGTATGCACATATGAATAATAAAACAATAAAAATTAAAAAAAATTCTGTTGTGTGTATATATGGCAATTTAGTTTTATATTTTGCTATTGATGGTATTTGGGTTGTTTACAGAGTTTTTTGCTATTATGGACAACATGTTGTCCATATTCTTTTATATTTTGTGAATATGCATGAATTTCTATTTAGTGTATCACTAGATGTTAAAGTGCTAGATGAAATCTAGGTCTGGTGGTACACAGCTATAATCCCACAACTCAGGAGGCTGGGCAGAAAGATTTTGAGTTCCAGGGCAGCTTGGGTTACATAGTGAGACTGTGTCTCAAAAACCAAACCAAACCAATCAAAATAACAACAAAAGCAAACAAAACCAAAAACAAAAGTGCTGGATCATAGGGCATGTGCATGTTTTAACACAGAAGCTATTACCAAAGAATTTTCCAAAAGCCTTTTTTTTTAAATCAATTTATACATAGACAAATAGTGTAGGAGAGTTGTAGTTTCCTCTGCATTCTTGCCAATGCTTTGCATTGCCAGTTTTTTTTATTTTAACTCATCTGGTGACCAGTGAAATCAAACGCCTTTTTATGTGTTTAGTAGCCATTTAGATATCTTCTTTAGGAAGAAGTACAAATGGCAAATAAACACATGCAGAAATGTTCAACATCCCTAGCCAAAAGGAAATGCAAATCAAAATGACATTGAGATTCCATCTCTTCCTCGTCAGAATGGCAATCATCAGGAAAACAAACAACCAATGCTGGCAAGAATGTTGGGGAAAAAGAACCATTATACACTGTTGGTGCGAATACGAGTTAGTGCAGTCACTATGGAAATCAGAATAGAGGTCCCTCAGAAATACAAAGTTAGAAGTGCCACATGATCCTGCTATGCCACTCATGGGAATAAATCTGAAGGAATTTAAGTCAGCATACAATAGAGATACTTGCACACTCATGTTCATAGCAGCATTATTCACAATAGCCATGCTATGGAGTCAGCCCTGGTGATCACTTTATCTAATGAACAGATTAAAAAAAAGTATATTTACACAGTGGAGTATTATTTAGCCATGATGAAGAATGAAATTACATACAGTTTTTGTAGGAAAATAGATGGAACTGGAGATTATCATATTGAACTAAATAAACCACACTTAGACAAATATCACATCTTTTCTCTCATATGCTGAATCTAGACCAAAAAAGCAGGTGCTGTACCACTTGAACCATGTCTTTAGTCCATTTTGCATGGTTCTTTTGAAGATAGGGTCTCTCCCATATAGTTAGGATGACAAATATGTGCCCATGGCACCTGGCTTGCATTACTTAGTCTGCTATTAGTGAAAGGGGACCTCTGGAAGTCTGAAAAAAGAGTGGATAATTCATGTGCCATTAATTATGTTGAGAATTATTAAGTCTTTTAAAAGGCAGCATCTTGTTAACTTGTAAGACGACCTGTTCAAGTTAAGGTCTTTCTTCTGTGATAGAACATCCATATACACTTAGCTATCAGACTCTTATCATCAGTGGGGCCTTACTCATATGAGGGAATTGCAGCATTTGGTGTGATTCCTATTTAGTTGATTATACTATTAGCTAAATATTTTAATTTTCATGAAGTAATAAATAATTTTGTTTATGTTTTGAAAAACAGGATCGTGAACTTCCAAGACTGATTAGAGGTCGAGTTCATAGGTGTGTTGGAAACTATGACCCAGAAAAGAACATTTTCAAATGTGTTTCTGTCCGACCAGCATCTGTTTCTGAACAAAAAACTTTCCAAAATTTTGTTAAAATTGTAGATACTGAGATGAGGTATTATACTAAAGTAATGAATGAAATTTAGTTGAAGTAAATAGTATAAATTTCACTTGAAGCATTTTAAATGTGGAGTTTTTTTAAAAGACAGCTTTACAGTTTTTTACTAAAGTGGTACATTTGCTAAAATTCAACAACAATTTCAGCTGAAAATACTTACTATAATATATACACATAGGTACTTCTTACACTTTTTCCTAGCCAAAAGGCTGAGAAGTGATAGTAGGTACTTTTATTTTTTGGCAGTACTAGGGTTGGAACTAAGGGCCTCAAGCTTGCTAGGCAGGCATTCTACTACTTGAACCATACTCCCAGACTCTTTTTTTTGCTTTTAGTTATTTTTCAGGTAGGAGTTCACATTTTTTCCCCTGGGCTGGCCTGCAATGTGATTCCCCTGCTTACACCTCCTGTGTAGCTGGAATGACAGACACACACCACTATACCTTGCTTTTATTGTTGTGATGGAGTCTCGCCAACTTATATTTCTTTGCCTGGGCTGCCCTTGAACCATGATCTTCCCTTATCCCACTCCTAAAGTAGCTGGCATTCATAGGTATAAACGTCATCTCTCACTGGCTAGTAGGTACTTCTTTAACCTGGGATAATAATATATCTGATATTGCCTCCCCCAAAAAATCAAATACCTAGGTGTAAACCTAACAAAAGATGTCAATGACCTCTGCAAGGAAAACTATAAACTTCTGAAGAAAGAGATTGAGGAGACTGTAGAAAATGGAGAGATCTCCCATCCTCATGGATTGGTAGAATCAACATAGTAAAAATGTCGATACTCACAAAAGTAATCTACATGTTTAATGCAATTCCCATCAAAATTCCAATGACATTCATTAAAGAGATTGGAAAATCTACCATGAAATTTATATGGAAACACAAGAGGTCACAAATAACTCAGTCAAAAGAACAATGCTGGAGGTATCACAATATCTGACTTCAAACTACATTACAAAGCAATAACAATAAAAACAGCATGGTACTGGCACAAAAACAGACATGAAGACCAGTGGAACAGAATAGAGGACCCAGATATGAAGCCACACAACTATAACCAACTTGTCTTTGACAAAGGAGCTAAAATATACGATGGAAATAGCAGCCTCTTCACAAAACTGCTGGGAAAACTGGCTTAGCAGTCCTGAAAAAACTGAAACTAGATCCATGTATATCACCTATACAAGATTAACTCAAAATGGATCAAAGGATTCTTAATATCAGACCCAAACTCTAAAGTTGTTACAGGAAAGAGTAGGAATACTCTGCAGTTAAGTAGGTATAGGTAAGAACTTTCTCAACGAAACCCCAGCAGCACAGCAACTAAGAGATAGCATAGATAAATGGGACCTCATAAACTAAAAGCTTCTGTTCATCAAAGAATGGCTCTAAACACCCACAGAGTGGGAGAAAATATTTGCCAGCTATACATCAGACAAGGACTATAACAGAATATATAGGGAACTTAAAAACTAAATCTC